GCCCGTGTGCGTGCGCCGGTGCCGCTTGAAGTCTGAGCTGTGGCCGACGACCGGCCCTACGCGTGCGGCGAGTGCGGCCGCCGCTTCGGGCAGAGCGCGGCGCTGACGCGGCACCAGTGGGCGCACGCCGAGGAGAAGCCGCACCGCTGCCCCGACTGCGGCAAGGGCTTCGGCCACAGCTCAGACTTCAAGCGGCACCGGCGCACGCACACGGGCGAGAAGCCCTTCCGCTGCACCGACTGCGGCCGCGGCTTCGCGCAGCGCTCCAACCTGGCCAAGCACCGGCGCGGCCACACGGGCGAGCGGCCCTTCCCGTGCCCCGAGTGCGGCAAGCGCTTCTCGCAGCGCTCGGTGCTCGTCACGCACCAGCGCACGCACACGGGCGAGCGGCCGTACGCCTGCGCCAACTGCGGCCGCCGCTTCTCGCAGAGCTCGCACCTGCTCACCCACATGAAGACGCACCGCAGCGCGGCCGGCGCCCCCGGCTCGGCGGCCGCGGCCCCCCGCGTCCAAGGCGGAGGCGCCCGCCAAGGGGCCGCCGGGCGCGGGCAGCGGGCCCGGGGAGCGCGGCAGCACCCTGCTGGAGTTCGCGGGCGGAACGAGCTTCGGCTCCGAGCCCGCGGCCGCCTTCGCGGGGCCCTCGGGCGCCTACGAGGAGAGCATCCTGTGATGGCCCGAGGCTGACGGAGGCGCAGCCCGCTGGGCCTCCGGCCCCTTGCTCCTCTGTCCTTGGGGTGCTGAGGGCCCCAGTCCTGGTGCGGTGCCTTCCCCTCAGCCCCCGGCGCACCGCCCCGCCTGCCCCCGCCCGGCCTCGGGCGCCCCTCCTGCCCGGCCCCGGGGAAACCGGGCCGCCAAGCCCGTCCGGCCGTACAGGGGGCGCGCGGGGAGAGGAGAGCCGCGCGCGCGGAGGAGGCGAGGGCAGGGGGCGGCCACCCCGACCAAGACTGCGGCATCCCTGGGTCTGTGCTGTGAAGCCAAGCGGTAGGGATGGCGGGCGATGTTATTTATTTCACTCGGATTCCAATTTGGGTGGCCTGGGGTACCGGCGGCCGACGAGTTTGTGAGTGGGTTGTACAGCGAGGGCGGGGATGCCCTTGCGTCAAGGGGAGGGGAGGGTGGTCGAGGGCAGAGCATCCCGCTCCTCCTCCCGTGGGTTCGGCTGACGACTTCTTCCATTCCTCAGTGAGAGACTTCAGGGACCTTCTGGTCATTTGAGTGTGTCCGGGAAGTTTTAGGGACTGCGCGTGGCTAAGGGGAAGCCTTAGGGTTTCCAGAGGACGATGTTCCTCGCTACCCCGGGGGGGACAGACATGCAGCTAGGAGAGCTTTTATTCTGTCTACTGTGGATATTTATTTCCATCTCTTGTGTGGCCTGAAGAATCTGGGAGGAGAAAACGGCAGAAACCAAATTTGTGGCCCCAGGCTGGTGGGTTGCAGGTGTTTGCAGGGTCCTGAGGGAGTTTGAAGCCTTATTCTGGGGAGAGTCACCCACTCTCCCCACCCCACTGGAGCACCCGGATCAGCCAGGCACTCGTGTTGCCGGGTGGGTTTCGGTCTCAGCCTCCTCTTCGAGCCCTTCGGTACTCTCACCCCCGACAGCCAGAGGCGGCACACTCAGAGATCCTTGGGGGCCTCTTGCCCGCTGCTGAGCCAAGGCCCCAGCCTTCAGCTGCCTGGGCTGTCCCCTCCCCTGGGGCAGGTGGACACACAAGGCCCTGCCCTCTGAGCCCAATGCTTCTTTAGATTTAATAACCAACTGTAAAGCAACAGGTCGGCAGCAGGATCGTTTCTCACAACCCTACGGGCTTGGGGCCCTGTGATGTCCGCAGGTCCCTTTAACTCTGCTTCTGTCACTATTCTGTACTAGAAGCAAGTAGCGTTTCCGTTTAGAATCCCATTTCACAGGATGGACAGTCTGCACAGTGGCAGTCCACCTCTGGGGGTGCGGACTTGAGCCTGTGGCTCAGTGACAAGCCAGGCACCCAGCTATGCAAGGCCCACACCTGGTGGGCACCCCAACCTCCGGGTTGGGCCATTGGGAGCCACTGGGCAGGCAGCTGAAGTGTGGCTCACGTGAGAGCCCTCTCTTCCCTCATGCCTTTTGGGCCAATGTGAGTGGGGCCAGAAAACAGACTTTGAAACAACTGCATTCCCTTTTAGACCTAGTTCCTTCTGTTTTAGTGTAGGCATGGCCTTGGGGCCTGAGAGCCAGCAGCCGGGCTCTCCAGCGCTGGGGGCGGGGTAGGAAGCGCAGTAGTTGGTGGGTGGGGCGGGGGCGTGGACGGTGGTGGTAAGAATTGGCCTGGCTGGATGAGGTGACGGGGTGGGGTGGGCGACGAGGAGGACAGGGGTCCCAGGAGGCGTCCGCAGTGCTGGGCGATGCCTTCCTGCCCTCAGTTTCTTTCCTCTCCCTGTGGGCCGGGAACGTCGGGGGCCAAGGGCAGGGCGGAGTAGCCCTGCACGGCCGGGGTCCGGCTCCGTGCTCCTCCCTCCGTGCACACCCCTCAGAGTACGACCGGACCTTCGGTGCCCCTCCTGGGCCCCAGCTGCTGCTGCCTGGCCGCAGAGCCATCGGCAGGAGGACCTAGCTTTAATAAAGAGTGGAGAAATGAGCTTTCTGACTGCATTCCGTGTTGTTGCCGCTCGGCTCCTCCGTGCCCTCAGGGAGGCTCTCTGTGAGGGCTCGGGCCTTGTTTTTGCAAAAAAGAAAAAGAAGAAAAAAGGGTTTTTTGTTTGTTTGTTTTTTTAAGGAGTTTCTCCTTTCAGAAACTAAAATTGGCCTCCGAGGAGTCAGCCCACGATGAGCTTTGGCCTGCTGCCTGTGTCCGCCACGTCTCTCTGGGAGTCCCCAGCCACACTGCCACATGCTCTTTGTAATACACCCATCCTGGAACCTTACTGTGTTTGGGATTGTTTGCTCCAGCTTTCCCGCGGTCAAAGGAGAGGGGCCAGGTCCCCTTCCTGGGGGTCCAGACACCTGCCGAGTCCCAGACATTTCCTCAGAGGCCCCAGCGCTTCGTGGGCTTATCCGGGCTTACCTGCTCTGTGCCGGGGAGAAGCGCACATCCCAGGACCCCAAACACCTTCCTTTGAGCTGATTTACTGACTATCTGCTCGCCACATGATGTCCCCCCAACCAGATCTGACCTCCCACCCTTTCCCCAAGCATTTGGAAAAGACAAACTATGAAGTAAATTCTCTTTCAAATGTGATTTCGAAGCATCAGAACCGAGCCCAATATTTCAGTTAAAAAAAAAAAAAAAAGACAGGCTTTGAGAGGCAAATGGAGGTTAAGACCTAGTTAAAAATTGATAGCCTTGAGGATCTGGAAGTCTATTCAGAAAAGGTAAATTCTTCCCTGATAGGGCTTACACCCGCCCCCCCAAATTCATTTTTATTTGGGGGATGGGGGGGGGGCCAATCCTGATGGTCATAGAAAAAAAAAAGCCCTTCTGGTGTTGAGAGGACTTCTAAATTAATGGAGTCCCTAATCAATTCCCCAAGTATCAGTTTATCAGCTTCGATCATTGCCAAGGAGTGGAAGCCCCCGTGAGATGTGACCCATGAAAGGAGGTACTCTGAGAGTTTTGAGGCTCCGAGCATCCCTGTGGCCTCCACCCACCTTTGTCATTTTCCTGTTTGTCTACGGCTTGTATTTCCCCAACCTCCTTCCTGTCTCCTGACCCTTACACTTGATCTCTTCAGACACTTCCTTCTAACTTTTTTTCTTTCTCCAATTGGCTACATATGGAATAAAGTATTTTGAGATTTTTTGGTTATATTTATTAAATAAAGCTTTATGATCCTTGTTCATTATTTTTTTTCCTGATGATAAAGCACATGCTAGTTGTCAAAACTCCCAACAGTAGGAAAGTGTGTTGTGTGCATACTTCTCATCTCCTAAAGCGTCACACTGCATCCAGCCATCAGGCACCACAGTTGATGCAGGAGGGCGTGGGGGCACATTTCTTCCACGTACACAGAGATGTTTCACAGCTGGGGATTGCTTTGTGTGCCCCTTGCAACTTTCTCTTTTCATTTAACAACGTACCAGGACATTTCTTTCCTACTGGACAGACCTACCTCACTCATTTTAACTGCTCCGTCATAGCATTTCACTTAATGGGTGTACCATAGTTTATGTACCTATATCTCCAACAACGGGTATTCGGTTGTTTCCAGCTTCTCCTGTTACAAACAATGCTGCAATGTAGGTTCTCGTACATATTTCCGTGCAGTTCTGTAGATGTTCAATTGTCTGTTTGAGAAAAAGTACTAGAGGTGATGTTGCTAGGTCAAAAGGCATGTATGTTTAAAATTCTGGATATAGCTAAATTGCCACCAAGAAAGGCTAAGCAGTCCCATGGTATATTCTTCTCCCAGTGCAGTGAGAAAGTGCTGCTGGTCCATGGCCTCGCCAACACGGGGCATCCACAATCATTGTCATCTTTGTTCTAAATTTTACAGAGGTGAGTGGCTTGCATTTTTCTATTTCCTTTAAACATGTGAATAGGTTATTAAAAGAAACAACTCATGGCCTTTGCTAAGGTATTTCTGGGCCTGTGGCTATAAACTATCCCCACTCACCCCAAGTTGACAGCCTCCCTATTTTCTGGTATGACAAGATATCTCAGGTTTGCCTTCCAATTTTCCTATCCCAACCCGGTAATCAACCAATTCTCCAAGGAGCCAGGATTCCTTTAGTGCGAAATGATATTTAGGGACCACAATTTGGTGCTGGGGTGCTCAATGCTACTAGGCTGATTTTTTTCCTCTAAGGAAAAAAAAAAATTCCAGCTTAGAATTCTATATCCAGCCATGGTATTCTAGTGATGAGGACAAATGATATTTTTAGATATGCAAGAATTCAGAAAATCGGCCATCTTCTGACCACTCTTAGGAGGCGTGTCACAGAATGAAAGAGTCAACCAAGAAAGAGGAAGGTTTGGGATGCAAGAAATAGTGGAGCCAGTCCAGGAGAAGGAGCTGTCAGGGACAACAGCTATGCATCGGTCCAATTTGAGCATGAGGATGGACGGCTTCAGGAAGTGGGTCTCTGTGAAATGGGGGAGACCAGCAGAGTCAGAAATATGCCTGAGAAGTTGCACATGGAAGAGCACAGCTGTGGATGAAAATCAGGCCAGAAGGGAAGAAGGGTCCTCGGCTGGAAAAGCCAGCATGGAGCATCACAGGCCGTGAAGTAAACTCTTCAGGCAAGATTTGCGGCGGGGAGGAACCAGGGTCTTGTTTCCACCTGCAGACACACGCCGAATGCTGATGCTACATCTTCCCATAACTGGCAGCTGCAGAGGCCACTGTGAGGCTCCGTGCAATTTTTGCTTTGTAATTTGTTTTTCAGTTTTGAAGTTATGTCTTTATTTATACCCGACCACCCCGGACATACATATTTAGGTTCTTGTCATATTGTTCCATAAGCTTAATTTGTGTCATGCTTTGATTGGTAAATTTGTCTACTTTTTCTTGGCATTAGATTTCTTCATATTTTGGTAACTCACTTTGCAGGCAGTCTCATCTTGAGGAGGAGGGTTTTTATTTTTGGTTTCTTTGACCAGTGTTTGAGTTCCAGTCTCTCTCTCTCTCTCTCCTTGTCCAGGAGTCTACCATTTGTTGGTTACCTCCATGGTAACCAAGAAATGTGCTAACAGTGCCCTGAGCTACTGCTCCATGATGATACCAGGCATGCCGCAGACCCAGGAAAGGAGGCACACGCAGCTGGGCTGGACTCCCGGTCAGGAAGCTGGCTCTCAGTCCTCTTCGCCCACCTCCCTAGGCCCTCAGCTCCCTGTAACCCACAGTCCCCAGCAGCAGGTGGGCAGCCCTGGTTCCCAGCTCTGTTTCACCCAGTGAACCTGCCTGGGGTCCCTTTCTCATAAGGGCTTTCCCCCAGAGCTGAGCCTCCAATGCCTCCTGCTCACTCCCAAACCCATGAGTCCATGAGGCCTTTTCTCTCACCACGCACACTGTTTCTGCTCATTTTTTTGGTTCAAAGAGATGTCTGCCCCGCTTTCTGAGCCTGGCTCTGTCTTTTTCATTACGTGTTGACAAATTTTATCTTTCGTCGTTATGTGACCAAAACAAGGAGTGTGGTGAATGCCAATGTGCTGTGCTGTCTCACCCAGATCGATAACACTTTTATTACTTCCCCTTAACTTTATTCCCTTCATCCTCTCTCGTTGTCCACTCTGTATCCATTCTCTCCTTCCTTTGCTCTAAAAGAACCTCTACACTGCTGGGCGAGCCAACGTGCCCCAATGACACTTCCCAGCCTCCTCTGTATACAGAAGTGGCCAGTTAAAAGGTAAGGAAAAGATAATTACGTGGGGCTTCCAGGAAAGTTCTTTAAAAGGCCCTGACTCAGCTGGAAGGCGTGCCTTTTTGCCCTTTGATTCTCCTTTTCTTGTACCTGAAATGCCCGACGTGATGGGTAGAGCTCAGCTGTCATCTTGAGACAATGAAGTCACTTTGAGGGTGGCAGCCACATGCTGAGAATGGCTGAGCAGAAAAGCAGCAAGTACCTGGGGTCTCCAAGAGCGAGATCAAGGTGGGCTCGGCAGTGGAGACATAGCCAAGGTTCTGCCTCAGGAACTTTCCAGTTGGGATGACCAGCAGCTGCAGCTGCCGGAGTAATTTCTCAATAGACCCTCTGTAGTCGCATTATTCCCTGAAGATTCAAAGTTCCAGGTGGGAGGAAGCATGTGATTGGCTGAGCTTGGGTCAGGGGCGTTTTCCAGCTGCCAAGAGGTTGAGAATCCCTGGCCCCTTTGGCATCTATAGTGGGACATAGGCACTGCCTCCTACTGAGACCCACACAAAGGATTCCTCCCCGGAGAGTCCAAAAAAACGATGGGGAACATCCGCTGTGCCCCTGCAGTAACTGATTCACCAGGACGTCTTTGGCCAGGATCCCTCCCCTTGACCAGGTGAGCTGTGGCTCTTTTCTACTCACTACCAGGGTGGATGCAAATGAGAACACAGGGATGGGCTCCCGTCTTGGCAGGCATCCTGCCTTTCCAGGCTTTTCTTAATTCTCCATTGTCTGGTCTCTCTCGTGCAAATCCTGGGGAAGCTCTTTTCTTGAATTCTGGCTCGTGGCACTCTGGGCTTTATCTCCATCTCATCTTGCCATCTGTCCCTAGCTCCCATCCCAAACCTAGCCCTTTACAATAGCCAATGCACACAGGCCCGGCCGTGGTGTTCATTCAAGGACTTCCTTTCCAAATGGTCAGCCCATTCTTAGAAGGTCTGGGCCAGGTGTCACCCACTTAGGTGACAACAGTCCTAGCAGCAGCCATGCCTTCCTGAATCACTGTGCCAAGATGCTGATCCTCGTGTCCCGTCCCCTTTAGGTTCTTTCCAGGTAGAGATGGCAACATGAAGGACAGGTGACAAAAATGTGAATTTGCTTTATTTCCACTTTTTTTTTTAATGTTTATTGATTTTGAGAGACAGAGAGAGCATAAGCTGGGGAGGAGCAGAGAGAGGAGAGAGAGGATGCCAAGCAGACTCTGAGCTGTCAGCGCAGAGCCCAACATGGGGCTGGATCCCACAAACTGAGATCATGACCCGAGCCGAAATCAAGAGTTGGAAGCTTAACCAACTGAGCCACCCAGGTGCCTCTATTTCCAAGTGTTACGCTCATTTATGGATCTGGTGCTGGGCATTGGACGGCCTACAAAAAACCCAAAAAAAACCAAAAAACAAAACCAAACAAACAAAAGAGACACACAGTGCTTTTGCTGGCACAATACGCAAAGCAGCAGGAAGATGTGCCCTCTTCTCCTCCGTCTGCCAAATCTTACCCAAGTGCATCTAACTGGAGGGCCTAATTTGATTCCAGAACCCTAGAAGCAAGGAAGCCTGGGAAATGCAGTAGTCAGCGTTCCAGCCCCAGCAGGCACACTTAGAAGGAAATGAGAATGGGTACCCATGCCCACTCACCATATCCTTAACCCCTGCCATCAACAGGGAACCCCACAGGAAGCTACTTGCACACACCAAGATTTGTGGGTTGTCACCGCCTGGTCCCAAGGTTGTAATGTGTCAGCCAGGCACAGATCACAGATGAAGCTACCCACCAAAGATCAGCAAACGCCGTGACTTCCATACACAGAAGGTGGTAACTAGATGGTTCTGGACGGTTTTGCGGGTCATGTCAGGAGACTGCGGGTGCATCATTCCCGTATCTGACTTAGAGTGCCATCGGAGCATTAAGGAACGGGGTCAGAACACATCTGTCCTTCTCCCGCTGGATGTTACTAACTACTTCACCCACAGAGGCCGTTCCTAATGATCTGGGATCCTCGCCATAGAATCACAGGCACTTTTTTTTTTTTTTTAATTGAGGTGAAATGTATGTCACATAAAAGAAACCATTTTGAAGTGTACAGATCAGTGGCACTTAGTACATTTCCATTGTTGTACAACCAGCACCTCTGTCTAGTTCCCAAACATTTTTGTGTCTCCACAAACAGTCACTCCTGATGCTCCCTCCCCTGAGCCCCATCCAAGGCTCTTGAGTTACTTATACACAGCAGTTTTCCGTTTTTGGCTTAAGCTCTCTTGGATTGGATTTCTGCACTTGTACTGGAAAGAGTCCTAAAATGGCAAAGCTCCAGCATAACCATCTGCTTGTCAGACAGGTCTTCTGCTCCCCTTACCTAATGTAGATTTCCCTGTTCCACCCTCTTAAGGCAACGCCCAGTTCTCACTTTCAAGGTTCTTAGCACAAATTACAGGATTACCTGTGTTCCTGGTTTAATGACGGTCTCCTCCGTGGGCCACTACCATCCAACAAGGTGGGGACAGCTTATTTTGTTCTCTTCCTCTGACTAGCACAGTGCCTGTAAAAAGAATTCGTGCAATAAACGTGCCTGGGGGAAAGCGAAGGGGGGGAAAGGCGACATCTAGACATAAAGACACCAGGTCTGGAGTGGTCCCTAGCTAGTGACGATTCGCTATTGAGTTGGGGAGCCCCTCTGCCCCCCTTATCTTCCAAAGCCTGGTACCTCCTCAGCCCCAAAGAAGCAACTACAGACTGCCTTTTTGGAAACAGCTGCTGAGAAAAGGCAAAACAAAAGGGTGAGGAGGATACTAAAATACCGTTGATACAAATGCTTTTATCTGTTTGAAAACTTAATACATATTATACAAATTCAAACATATCACAAGGCTTTAGATTGAGGGGGGAGGGGGAAAGGTTGATTCTTTTTCTCACACCTACTAGGAGTCACACCCACTTGCTGTTCCCTTCGTGAAAGGCACCTGCTGTTACTAATCTCTTGTGTCCCAGAGAAACTATATACATATTCAAATGCATATATATCCCTACCTTCTTTTTAAACAAATGCTGGAATAACAAACAGGATACTTTTACCCTCTTAACCTTGTATCCTGAAGTCACTTTCTAATCAGTACAAGGGGATCTACCTCTTCATTTTAATGCCACATAGTTGCATTGTATGAATGTTACATTTATTCACTCAGCTCCCCTTGAATGGACATTTTAGATGCTCCCTCTTTTTTGCTACTACAACCAATGCAGGAAGGCATATATGCCCTTTGCACATGCCTGCTAGTATGATTAGTATGATAAATGCCTAGAATGGAATTTCTCTGTCAAAGGGTACAGTGATTTTGAGTTTTGCAGAAGTCCTTATAACATTGGACCTCTGGTCAACAACACGGGCCCCCTTTTCCCAACACAATCGTCAACAGTATGTGTTAATCAAACCTCTTGATCTTTGGCAACCCGAAGGGTAAAACAGAATGCCCTTGTCTTAACTAAAAATTTTCAAAGAACCCGCGCAGAGATTATACTATAATTCATGAACAATCATGAATCTTTCATCCATATCCAGACTTGGTGTTTTTCTTTATCGCTTCAAGAATTTTCATTTTGTTAGAAATAAATGTTACAGGTGCAGTAGAGCTCATCTATGTATTCCTGTGTACTTTCATTCTCTTTCTTCCCCCCGTGGAAGTGACTGTCATTAATTTGATGTTCACTGCTCCCATGCGTTAGAGTTACGCTGCATATTTATGTCTCAAAAACAATATTTTTGAATGTTTTAAAGCTGTATCTATTAGTCATCAAATTCTGTGCATACATAACTGTGTTTAAATTGTATATATCACTATACATAATATAGCCCTATGAGTATTATGTATTACAGTCATATATAATTAAACTGTGTACAGTATTCATCAAATTTATATATTGCAATTGATACAGAAAGAACATTAGATAAAGTTCAACTAGAATCAGAAGGGGGCTGTCTTAACCTTGTAAGGGTTATATAGCAAAAATCTATACAAACATTATATTTAATGAAAAAAAACATGATAGATTTCTTTTAAAATTAGAAACATATGTGCCCACTATCCTTCTACCATTTAACATAATACTGCAGTTTCCATGCAAGGAAAGAGGGGGTATAAGAATTACAATGGGATAAATTAAAAATGTTCTAATTCTCAGATAACATGACCATATACCTAGAAAAACATCAGAATCCATTGCTCACAGACTAGAACTTATAGAAAAGTTCATGTAAGATCAACCTACAAATATCAACGGTGTTTCTCTACCAGCAATCTAAATAAATGGTTGTATCATGCTTTTGGAGGGGACGACTTAATACTACAAAGATTTTCTCCTCCAAATTAATCCATAGATAATGCAATTTCAATAAAAATTTCAGTTGGACTTTTTGAGGGCCTTGATAAATTTCTGTGGAAGAAGAAGAGTAAAGAGAGGTTCACTTACCCTACCAATGACAAGAAAGCACAAATTGTTTGGTAGATGAGGTTAGAGAAGCTGGGTGATAATACTGGATCCCTACTTCACATCAGATAAAGAGGTGGATACCTGATGCATTGAAGACCTAAAGACAAAGGTAAAACCACAATATTAGCAGAAGGAAATTTAGGTGAAATCTTTGGGACCTCAGGGTAGGAAAGGACTCAACAAAGCTCCAATATCATAGCCATGAGGCAAATAATTGATGAATTTGATCACTTCAAAATTTATAAATTTTGCACTATGCAGGACTCCAGAGATAAATAAATAGATATCAGAGGAGGGAAATATTTGAAATGTCTAAAATTGACGAGGGACTATCATCTAAAATACTTGATGAACTCCTACAAAAAAAAAAAAAAAAGATAGCAACTTAATGGGAAAGTGGGAACTTTTAAGTTTATCCTGCTCAGAACCTATTTTGTGAACTGGTGTATGAACATATTTCCTAAGTCTGGAAATTCTTAGACAGCAATTTCTAATATTGCCTTTCTATCAGTCTCTCAATTTTCTTCTTCCAAATTCCTATTTGACTACTGGACTAAAACTGTATTTTGATCCACACCTCTCTCAACATACCAGAATTAGCTCAAAGGAGAGAACAGACCCAAATGTAAAACCATGAAGCTTTTGAGAAAACACAGGGGAAATTTTATAAATGTTTCGTTAGGCAAAGAATTTTTTGAGATACAACAAGAACCATAAAAGAAAAGAAACCCCTATATATAGACTTTATTAAAATCAAGAATTTCAAAAGACATTGTAAAGACAATGAAAAGACTGAAAGAAAATAATACAAATCACATACCTGATAAAGGGGTTGTATCCAGAAATACATTAAAAACTCTGAAAGTTCAATAGTAAGAAAACAAAGAACCCCGTTGTTTTTTTTTTTGCTTGTGTGTCTGAATGGGCAAAATATTTGGACACATCACTAAAGTAGATATATGAGTGGGAATTGAGCACAAGAAAAGAAAGCACCATCAATCTTAAGAAAATACAAATTAAAGCCATGATAGGATACTACTACACAATACACACCTATTTTAAATGACTGTAAATATCTAAACCATACCAAGTGTTGGCAAGCACAGGAAACTACTTAAACTCCCATTTACTGATGGTGGGAATGGAAAATAGTCAACCAGTTTGGAAGTTTCTTAAAATGTTACATATATATCTACCCTAGACTCAACTATTCAACTCCTAGGTATTTACCTAAGAGGAATGAACCTACCTAAATGTCCAGTAATAGGTGAATGGGTAAACAAATAATGGTTTGTTCATGCAATGGACCCCTTGGCAATAAAAAGGAATAGAGTATTGATGCACTCAACAAAGTGATGGTTCTCAAAATAGTTATGTTGGCCTAAAGAAGCCATTCAAAAAGGAACGAAACACGCTTTATATAAAAGTCTAAAATTCTAGAACATGCAAACTCGTCTACAGTGACAGAAAGCGTATCAGTGATTGCCTGGAAGTTGCGGGCCCCCGCCCGCCCCGGGGGCAGGGAGAAGTGGGAGACAGGGATTATAAAGGAGCATGTGAAAACTTTGGGGGGCACAATATGTTAATTATCTTGATTGTGGTGATGGAGTTATGGGTATATTCATACACCAAAACTTATCCAATTGTAAACTTCATACATGTTCAATTCACTCTATGTCGCTTATTACCCCAATAAAACTGTGCCTCTGTTATCTCAACACAAGAGCTACCTCCTGGCTTTTGGGCTGAGAATCAGATGAGTGGAAACCCTTAAAACAGCTGCTGACCCTTTAGTGGTAAGTTCTCACGAAGCATCGTTTCTTGCGGTTGTAACAGACACAATGGCTCAGAAGAGAGTTACAAGAAAGCTATTTATTTCCTGTAAGCAGGAAATGTTACCTCCTACGTGGGGTAGGAAAACAGTACAGGAATCAAATGCCTTGCAATTAAAAGTAAATTTTGTTACTTAGTTTTCCTGGATATTTAAAAAAAAATTCTAATAAAAGAAATGTTTACCTTAAAAAATGCAAGTAGTCAAAAAATCCACTTGATAGCCAAACCAATTTTAATTTCAGGTGTTGACTACTGATGCTTGCATGATAATTTTCTAAATTCTCTAAAATTCTTATTTTGTGATGGTTTAGATCTTTTGGAGAATCCTGGGAGAGTTCCCAGGTGTGTGTGTGAGAAAGAACCAAGCGTCCTTCTGCTGGAGACGATATTACTGTTTCACATTAATAATTGATAACTTACATTTCCTAAGCCGAGCTCCGTAAACCAAATTTCTGCAACCCCAAAGAAAACTTCCCGCGGACTAATACGGTTTTCGCATAGGGACTTTGGTGGGATGAATGACGTTCTCTAATTGGTTGAAGCTTTCACCCGCTACGCCCCCCTGGTGCTTCGGGGATTGGCTGCCGCAGGGGGCTGCTCACTCAGGATTGGCTAAGGCTGGCTTTCCACGCTCCCTACTCTCTCGCGATTGGCTGAAACTCGCTTTCCGCGTCTCATGATGCTCCCTTGGGATGGGCTAAGTCAGTGACATTCTTCCCGCCGTCACCCGGCTGCCCTCCTGTCTCCTTCCTCTTTGTGCTCACGATGCAGCCCCTGGGGGTGTGTGGGGTGGGGTGGATGCTTTTCTTCTGGTTCTGAATTTCTGCCCTTTATAGGGTCCTCAGGACTCCCCTGGGAAGGGCCCCTCACAATTACCGAACCTTTGGGCCGAGACCCAGCTTATTCCATGAATGCGGAGAAGCAGCTTTATCAGGATGGAGGGAGAGAGGGGTCCCTGGGAGTGATCCCAGTGGATTTCCTCCTGGAGTGCCCGCATTTTCCTCTCCTCCTTGAAGATGAGAGAGGGCGAGGGATGCAAATGCAACTGTCTCTAACAGTTTCTGTTCTCATGGCTTAGGTGGAAGAGGAGGGAAGAAAGAAGACGTCACCACTGATGGGCTGTTTCCTTGCCTGACTCAGTTGGTGTGTCCATTCTGGATGGCTGCCTTTCCTCATGGCCTCTTGGATGGCTCTCCCATAAGGTTTGGTGGCAGCACGGGGGAACAAATACTTTTGTGAGTGGTGTTAATCTGGCCTTATGGTTAAGAGCTAAGTCTGAGAAAATGGTTGTGGTTCAGATCTCAACTCCAACATGTACTGATTTTATGACCTCTACAGGTGACTTAACCTCGAAAAATTTCAGTTTTTCCACATGTAGAGGGCTGCATAGCTACGTGGTAGGGTTGCTGTTGAGTTACAGGTGGGGAGAGCTTGGTACAATGTCTTAGACTTCGATTCCGTGACAAATGACTGTCCCTAGATTCTGCATAGCGGCACATGACAGGTGTCCATTTCTGTTCTTCATAAGACCTGTGATGTGTGTGGGGATCGGGGAACAGCAGACACCAGGCAGACCGGTCAGGAGGCTCTGCCTTTTTGAACCTGTGCCATCTGGAACACATAGCCTGACAGGTTGCTGCAGAACCTGGATGGAGAGAGTGCGAAGTATCACGGCGTCTGCGTTAGTTCAGGCTGTTGTAACAAATTACTGTAGACTGGATGGCTTAAACATCAAACGTTTATTTCCCACAGTTCTGGAGGCTGGAAGCCTGACATGTGCCAGCACGCTTGGATTCTGGTGAGAGCCCTCTTTTGGGTTGCAAACTGACTTCTGCTATTGTCACAACTAGCTCTCTGATCTCTTCTTTTAAATTTTTTTTAACGTTTATTTATTTTTGAGACAGAGAGAGACAGAGGATGAATGGGGGAGGGTCAGAGAGAGGGAGACACAGAATCTGAAACAGGCTCCAGGCTCTGAGCTGTCAGCACAGAGCCCGACACGGGGCTCGAACTCACGGACCGCGAGATCATGACCTGAGCCGAAGTTGGCCGCTCAACCCACTGAGCCACCCAGGCGCCCCTCTGATCTCTTCTTATAAGGGCACCAATCCCATTCATGAGGGCTCCGCCCTCACAACCTAATTACCTCTCAAAGGCCCCACCTCCAAATGCCATCATCGGGGATTGGGTTTTCAACATGTGAATTTGGGAGGAACACACACATAACATAATAAAGTTATTATTTTCTTACTCTTTGGTTTGTCTATAACCTGCCTTATTTCAAAGAAACTGGGGTGCCTCCCCACCACCACGGTGCATGTAACTACACTCACACAAGATGACAGTATACATTCAGATGGATTCCTTAGAAACACCTAAAAGCTACCAATGCCTAGAACAGCACCCTGTGCATGTACCCTGATCACTGGCTTATTGGGTGAGAGCTCTGCCAGCCACTGCTGAATCAACTCCTTTGGTCCTTACAAGCCTCTGGTAAGAATGATCATCCCCATTTTACAGGTGAGGGAAGTGAGGCACAGAGAGCCACCCTAAGGTCTCAAGGTCTGGTAGGCTGGAGAATCGTGGTTTGGGCCCAGGCACTGAGATTTTGTAGACCTAGCTCCATCCCTCTGCATAACTGCTTCTCAGACACACTCTTAGAACACATTCGTGCAAATACACACAACCATGTTTTTATCTGCAGTCATAGTCCCACCAACACGATGTCATATAGCCAACTCTATTCCTAAACAGCAAGGTGGTGTCTTTTATCTCATGGTGTTAGGAAATTGCAGATCCCAGATTTCCAAGAGTTTGGGTACTTATGCACAGCTGGAATGGTCAAATCATTGGCTTGTGAAATCTCATAGCTGGAAACTCACTGCATGACCCATCCCATTGCTCTTTATGGGTGGAAGCACTGAAGTCTGGGCATTTGAAGGATCTCGGTCAAAGTTATCCACAGCTAGGACCAGGCTGTCCCTGCTTGACGTCATCTTTGCAAATGTGAGCTGACCCCCTTTTTGGGCAGGACTACTGTGCAGTGCTGCCTCGTGCCTTACAATCCCACAGATAAGTAATTATCTTTTCCTTGTGGGGGAAGAAAAATGTACAGAAATGTGAAGTCATATATACTAAGTGGATCTTAGGTCCACTCCTCCAGAGACATCACTGTTATCAATTAATTGTGCAGACATCCTGACCTTCCCTATGACTTTATATACAAATATAGAGGACACATAGTACTGTCATATTCCTATAGGTCTTTTAATCGTGCAGATTTGAGGTAATGGTAATCAAGTACTAATAATCTCATAGTAAGCCCAAATTTTAAAATAATACAGATTTGTTAAATTGTAAATTGAACGTTTACAGGAATTGTAGAATGGTAAAGCTGACATGCTTTGCCAGCATTTCAGGGTAGTGTCCCTTAAATGAATATTCAGATGTTAATTCCATTCTTAGACTCCTGTGAATGAACCATGTCCAGAATGTCTACACTGTTCTATACTGTTTGTGGGTTCCTCTTTGTTTATTTAAAAAAACACAGGGGCACCTGGGTGGCTCAGTTGGTTAAGCAGCTGACTTTGGCCCAGGTGATGGTCTCCTGGTTTGTGAGTTCAAGCCCTACATCGGGCTCTCTGCTGTCAGCACAGAGCCTGCTTCAGATCCTCTGTCCTTCTCGCTCTCTCTGCCCCTCCCCTGCACTATCTTGCTCTGTCTCAAAAGTAAATAAACATTTAAAAAAACCCCACATATTTGTTTATATTCTTTACAGCACATAGGCACATTAAAAAAAAGGACCCTATCTTCTATCTTGGAATCTGTCTATCCATGTATCTATCAGAGAGAGAATGTACGTGCACAGGGGAGAGGGGCAGAGGGGTAGAGGGAGAGAGAGAGAATCTCAAGCAGGCTTCACACTCAGCGCAGATCCCACGACCCTGGGATCCTGACCTGAGCTGAAATCAAAAGTTGAACACTCAACCCACTGAGCCACCCAGGCGCCCTGTATCTTCAACTATATTTTGATTCCAAAATGGATCACGAACATTGTTACACGTGAGTTATTTACCTTACATTATAGTTTTGAATGGCTACCACCTTCCCCAATGTATTTTTCATATTCATTGATTAGACACTTAAATTGTCTAAATTTATATTGCTTCCATTATTTTTCTAGTGCAACTAAATTGAACAAGATTCATATATATACATCATTGGAGGTTATTTCATTATTATCCAATTGTTTGGGTGGGCAATTGATTGCAAGGACTAATTTCGTTAAGATTTTCATCTGTATTCCCGAATCTCTCCCTTGTTTGGCGGCTTTGAGGCCCCTCACCTCCTGGCAGGAGAGGTCGCGGAGCTGGGGTTGGGGGGGGAAACATGGGGAACTGGGGGTGACGTGGGGGCGGAATGGGAGTGGGGCGATGTGGGGGAAGGGAAGGATGGGGTGGGAGTTGGGTGACGTGGGGGAGGGGCAGAGCGGGAGTCAGGGTGACGTAGGAGCGGGGTGGGGAGGGAGTCCAGGTGTTGGGGGCGGGGAAAAGGGCGGGCCCGCTCAGGCCACGCCCCCCACACGTGGGCGGAGTGTCCCGTGCGGTGGGCGGTGCGCGTGGCCGGGCCGGCCGTGCTTAGTGCGCAGGCGCGCGTTTCTCCTCAGCATTGCGTGCCGGCTGTCCCGGGCCCTACTCGGGTGCGGCGGCGCGAAGGCGGGCGGTGGGTCCGGGAGGTCCGGACCGTGGTCCGCGCGGACGGCCTGAGGCTGCGGCGTGGGGCGTGGGGAGGGAGGCTTCGGGTTCGCTCGGGGCCCGCTCAGGCCGCCCCTCCTCCCCCGCCACCCCGGCGGGGGCCGAGTCGACACCGAATGGGGGCGCCTCTGGAGGGCCCCGAGCGAACGCGCAGGAAGTGCGGCGTTTTTGGGGGAAGCCGCGCTCGCCGCGGGGTCTCCGTCCTCGTAGGCGCCGAGGCGGCTCGACCGCTTCTCGGAGGTAGGACGGGGACCGGGTGTCGCGCGCTGCCCGCCGTGCACCCGTCGGACCCAAATGTATTGTGGTCACACACACACACGCGCGCCCCGCGGCGGTGTGCATCCCAGGGCTCCTTTCGTGTCTCCCTGGGTCCGTGGAATATGGGTCCCCAGGGAGCCGCGGGGGTCCTGCCCGCCGGGGGCCGAGGGTGCTCCCCAAATCTGCGCTGTCCGGGGGCTGAGGGCGCTTCGCGGCGGCCCGCCTGCCTTTGTCCTCAACCCCCTGCTTTGCGCTCCCTGACAGGCGCTGTGTGTTCTCGGGGAGGCGGGTCCGGGGCCCCTGGTGAAGGTGCCAGCCAGCGGGTGTCTGTCCCCTAGGCTCTCCTGGAACAAAGCAGCTTCACGGAGGCAGGAAGGACCGGGCCGCAGGCGCAGGAATCCCGCCGGGAAGAACGCATCAGAGCCCGTCGGAGCCTCAGAAGAGAAAGACGGAAGAAACGCGGAAAAGAAGCAAAGGGGGGCAGGGCTCCGGGGATTTCACCGCATTCAGATGCTGTGAGTCACTTTGCCGGCAGCTGGGGCCAGGTGGTGGCGAGGGACAGACCGTGGGGAGAAGTGTCGCCTGGTTGGCGGGACGCTAGGAGTTCTACAGCCGGGCAGCTTTTCTTTTCAACCGCACCCCAAACGCTCTCTTGCTTCCCTTCGTTCTCCACCGATTCTTTCCAGAAGCTGGGCAGCTTTCACCGCGTCGGGCCTGTGGAGGTGCGCTCTCGTGTCCCGATCTTACAGGCTCAAGAGTAGTATTTAAGGGAAGGTTTGCCAGGCTTTTCCCTTTCTTTCTATTTTTGTCTCATCTGGCAGAAGTGGGGGAAAGATCCCGACAGAGGAAACGGCTTATTTAGGATTAACAAGAGGCGAATAGAAGCCAGAGTCCCTGACTCCAAGCTTGGTGCTGTCCTCACAGTCCCATCAAAGCAAGTTTACTCCTAAAAGATCCTTTTGAGAAGCATCAGTCCAATTAGAAGAAACACGTTTTTAGAAGACCTGCATTCAAGGCACCTGTGCCTTTTTCTAAAGCTTTGAGGATTCTCCTACCCAGGGGGTGAACGTTATCTAGTAAATCAGATACACAAAACAATCTTTAGGATTTGTTCTCCCCTGCAACGTCAGGTTTAATGAAGACCTTGTATTTCATTTTTTTGACGTGCCATAATTTGCTTAATAATAGTTCCGTTTTTAACGTTTCTGTGTTGGGGGGGGGGGGCGGCGTAGTTAAAGCAGTAGGAAACATTGCAGGAGTCACAGAGGGACGGATGTCACCTTCCTTCTCTTGTCCACCATCAGAGGTTACCCAGCCTTTGTGCAGAAGTTTGTACAAGAATCCAGATGCTGCAGGGCCAGCCAGCTCTCATTAGCCTGTTCCTCTGTCCTCTTACAGGTACGCCTTCCCAGGTTTTGATGCTCTTCCGAGTACAGCGGAAAATGAACAAATCCCAGGTGAGTTATTTTCTTTTCTCTATTCTTGATTTCTTTTTCCGGCAGGTTTTGTGGTTTTTGTAAATGTGTTCACACATTATTGTAGAAGAGTGGAAATAGAGGAAAAGTACTTCAGGGCCAATGAAGAATGAGTGGGTGGCATCTGTCTAGCAGGCAGCGAGCAGTTGGCTGCAGGTCACGGGACCGACCCTACAGTCATCAAAGGTGACCCACACATTTATCTTTGAGCTTCCTGATCTACGCAGGATTTTCAGTGACCACAAAGAGAGACCAGGCAGTTTTTTCCTGGGACAGAGAGACTTAATGACTCTGGAGTCTGGAAAAAATGTCTTTGAAGTTCTTCAGGTAGTGAAGAACCTTGCATTGAGCCCCTGGTTGCCTGTAATCATTTCTCATTGGAAGTGGAGGTCAGAACTCAGGTTTTATCAGGGACTACAGTGGTGTCGGAGTCTGGA